TCTGTAAGAATGTTATGCTCAGCCATAACTGATGACTGGGGAGGGTATTGAAGTTTTACGCCGCTTTCAGCAATATTCCAGCACATCAAGTGGGGACACCAGCCATCACTACATTGTGCCCTGTGGGATCTGAACCCAGTTCCTCGGTCGTGACGAGCTAACGTTTTAACCACTAAGGCTACCACCAAGAAATTGCTTCGCATAATAGTACCTATAAGTTGGGAATCGAACCCGGTGCTCTGCGGATTTTTAATAAGGTAAATTGCTTGAATTAATGTTGTTTTCATGTTGTGGTGCTTGTGGAATTCTACAAAGGTCGTTGCTGACAGTGAAGGCACACAGTAGTTAGTTAAGCCCAGGGCCAGATAAGATCGTCTAGTTTGCATGTTGAACATGAGTAGAATGAGGTAGACAACATTACGTTTTATCCTATTTTGGATTGTGTACGGTGTAATAAGAGAGCCATTGAAGTCTGTAAGGGTTGTTTTGTTTGTAGAGGGTGTTCCTTTAGGAGGGGTTGGGATGGGGTGTTAGCTACTTGATTTCAGGTGTAACCGAGTCCTCTATTGAAACAAACTAATATCAACACTTCCACTGTGAACGGCATCTCTGAAAAAATGTGGATTGTTGAAGGAAGGAACATTATTCCACCCATCTGTAATCCACCCATGATGGCAGTTTAAGCGCCAACACAGAAAAATAATATATTTTGTTAAAACATTTGGCGTAAATGAATTGATCCTGCTACGTATCTTAAAGTAAGAGGTTTCACCTGTTGAAGAATCTACCTGAAAACATCCTAGGATTTGGTGTTAGTGCCCTTCACGCTGGTTCCTTTGATATGCATTCAGATATCAGGTTTGTCAACCTTTGTTTTGTCTACAGGCTCAAGATTGCCCATCAGTTTCAAATAAAGTGTTCAACATTTGTATACGTTCCGTTGGAGAGACATACACCTCAGTAGAAATGTCTGTTCAAGGTAGCATTAAATCAATCTACAGGCCCTTTATTAATAGACTGATGCCTGTGATATCAATCACAGGATTGTCAACCAGATTCTATTATGTCCGACGAGCCAATATAGCGGCAGGAATATTATTGAGGACAGCGTAAACAACAAATTAAATCCTCCGGGAGACATCTCAAGAAGTATCATGATTTCAGGTAGCCTTAACTGTCATACACTGTCGTTTTGGTTTTCTCAATGTACAGCTTCATATGGCATTTTGGCTTTTATGATGAACTTTGACTATTGTGGCGTTTTTACATGTTGCGTGTTATGTAATATATGGTCACATGATGCATCACATCATCACAGCATTACAATATTGTGTCACTTGAAAGATCACCTTGCATAAAACCGTTAGTCATGTCTCACTGTGTTATTGCATTAGCAATGTCTTTGTTGTCGTTGATAGCATCTTCTAATGTCTCCCAAATCATATATCTTTTTGTTATTTCCGGCAAAAGAGCTTACACTAACTCTGAATCCATTCTTGTTGTTCTGATGAGGACATATTACCATCAATTGATATTAATTTTTGCCATTTTTACCTTCTAACATACCCAACAGGAATGCTTGACTTTACAAGCCAGCCTCCAGTATGGCTGACAATATTAACACCATGGAGGCTGTCCCTTTGATTTTGAAGTTGCGAGAAATTCAGTATTGAAAAACTGAAAATCAATTGATGGAAGGGATGTTTTACTGTCACATACTTACCTACTAGTTGGTGGCTTTAAGTTTCTAGGTGATGAGTTAATTCCCATTTCTCTGTCGCTGGCAACCAGAGGTTAAATTGGTTGCTAAAATGGCAATGAAAAACCGAGGGGTGTGTAACAAGGACCATGGGAATGGCCTCAAAGGGTTTAGTGTGGGATTACTGAAAGCCCTTATTGGTGATAAAGAGGACGCATTATCAGATATTCCTATGTCATTCAGTCATGTTTAAGTCAACATGCTGTCGATGAGCTTGGATAATGTGTTGTGACAAAATGTTCATGCTTTGCCACGTCAGTTTGTGACATGATACTTTTGGTATTGTGATGTAAACGCTACTCCAAGGAGCCTTTGACAGAAATTACGATCTTAAGAAAATGTCAAAAATGCTTTACGTCATGTTGTGACATGATACTCTCTTTGTGTGTGATGTAACGCTACTTCCATGGTTTTGACATACCACACGATCTTAGAAAAAATGTCATAGCTTTATGTCATAAGTACAGACATGACACTTTGATGTGCGGGATGTAACGCTACTTCCATGGTTTTGACATTAATTTACGATCTTGTGAAATGTCTTGCTTTACGTCATGTGTTGTACGACATGATACTTTTAGTAGTGTGATGTAACGCTACTTCCCATGGTTTTCCTTGATACGAATTACGATCTTAGAAAATGTCGCTTTGTGTCATACTCCAAACCTCTTCCAGTACACAAGTGACGTTAATGCTAATGCTAAAAGTTAGCGTACTTGGTATATTTAACTTATATTGTTCGCTATCGGTCACATGTCTGAGTTCTAGACATGCGGGTCGCTTAAAGTAGATTAATTGTTTTGGCAGAGTTGAATACTCTGCCAAAACCAGGAAGAAGAGCATTGATTTGGGGGCCAAAATGCCAAATGATTTAATCTCACTTCAATCTTTGCTGTAGATGTCTACAAAGTTGTACCGTGTGTTTTACATTTGTATCTACTAACTCTGGATCTCCACAGTTTTCTGTTATGTAGTCTGGCAGTGATGGGTGACCCCTTTTCCTCCATTGTGTCAAATAGAGGTAGATGACCCAATAATTTGCTAAGCAACAGGTTCATTTTTCTCTGTTTTGCCGATGTTTTTAAGACAGATAAAGGTTGCTAACATTCTGGAAATAAATTATTATCACAAAATGCCAGTTAATTTTGAAGTCAAAAGAAGGTGCTTATTTCACGTAACTGATCTTTTTATCATCAATGATGCTTGTCAATAAGTTTTGCATTATGAGATTGTTTGTGAATAAAAAGCCAACGAAAGAAGTCATCTGCTTTGTTTTCATTCTCAAGGTGTAACGTGATGAACCAGTAACTTAGGAAGGAACTGTCAGGACTTTAAAGAGAATTGAATGAATGGCCTGCACTTTTCCTAATTTTTCAGTGGTCACCTCGACTCCACTCATCCTGTGTAAAATCCTGGATCAGACCATGTTGGTCAATACTCAGCGCCTATGTTTTGCCATCCAGGGGTTACCGAACAACACAGATGGTATTTTTTTATATGATTGTCATTTGCATCAGAAGTTGTGACTTGACGTGACACAAGTTATCGTACTAAAATTGCATCTAGATCAATACTCAGATCCTTTCCATGCCATGCATCGTATCAGTCAGCACTCCTTATGAACGCATGGACAGATACAAAGTTCATAGGGTACCATGGTCATGTTCATTCGTCGATCTTTATTAACTTTCCACGATTGTGTCAAGTACCATGGCCGTGGCACCTTCATCTGAATACATCTGCTTGGCAACATTATATGCATAAACATATGTAAAATACATAAAGTTAACACACAAATTGTATTCGTCAACACTGTATCGGTCAGCACTGACCTTATGAACGCTCAGTATCTGTCCATGTTCATAGCTACCATGCTCCATGTTGGTTCGTGCCAGGCTCACGATTGTCAGTATCAGGCTGACACTTTACATATCTACATGATGCATAGATCAATACTCAATCACTGGATCCATACCATGCCCATGTCGGTCAGCACTGTCCTTATGAACATCAGTATCGCCCATGTTTTACAAGGTCAGTCGTGATTGGCTACCCATGGTGAGATGACTTAGGGTCAGGCTAAACGGACCTCACTTTCCAAGATTATAATTCATCGATAAGTTACTCATGCTTCAATCGAACAGAAACCTGTTACTCGTGCCAAAAAAAGCCCTTTATACAATGAAACAGAATTTGTAAGAAATATAACACAAATCTATTTATTTTCCTAATTCCTTTATTAAAACTTTTGATTTCTAGTCAAGGAATTCAAAATCTCTCGAACAATCAGTGAAACCTGTGTAATTAAAACAATTATGTGAAAATCGCCGTTAAAGATAAGGGAAGACCGGGGATTCCCTTCGAATGAGATCGCAGTTTCCCCTGTATTCTCACTAGTTATCTAAAGCTAAACAACAAAATATGACCAAGAAGTCTGACTGCAGTTCAAGAGTGTTTATTGTAAGACAAGAAAAATTATGTTGTTAGTATAAATTCATAATCAAACGGGGGGCGGTGGAGAGCCAAGTGGGTAAAAGTTGGATCTGTCACGCTCGCGAAGACCCGCTGGTTCGATTCCCCTAATACATGCGCGGTACAATGTGTGAACCCCATTTCTTGGTATGTCCCCCGCCGTGATGTTGCTGGAATATTGCTAAAAGCGGCATAAAACAAACTTCGGTCGGCTTCATAATCAAAACACATATTTGATGGTAAATTACGCAACGATGGTTATTATAGATTGGCGATTTATACCTGAGGTGTATATTAAATTACATAAACAGAACTACCTAAAATGATAATATGAAATAGCAAGTTACATATACATGTCAAAAGTCTAGTATTTCATCGATCATAACTTATTCTGCATGTCAAAAATATAACTTATTAAGCATGCTTTGTTGCATTAGACGTTACATATAAGTTAAAAATCTATTTAGTAACCTTTCATGACATTAAATGCGTAACGTCAAGTAACACATGAAAAATATAATGCAAGGTCTTACCTAAACAATAACAATATGACCAACAAGTCTGACTGCAGTTCAAGAGTGAACTCCATGCGGATGCTGCCGCAGTATTTATATGCAAGGAGCATGCAGTCAAACCTGTTAGGGTAAGGATCCGTGGCAATGTTTCACAATGACCCTATGTATCAGCAAAATTGAAACAATACAGTAATATGTAATATTTACGCTGTAGTGCATTGCATCGTCACAGAGACTGGCAAAGGTAATTTAAGGAAAACAACAACAATGAAGTGAGCAGTGATCTCACTGGCTTAGCCGGACGATATTGGGATACTGACATATGGAAGTGATGGCCAGAAGAGGATACGTTAACAAGCTACTGCCGTGGTAGTTAAGCTTTGACACACCGAGAGAGAAGTGATGGGATATAATTTATGCTTTATGGGGTGTGTTCCGTCTTCAACGAATTGTGATATCCATGTAACAAAGTGACTTTATAAAAATGGCATTTAATATACACATATATATGGAAATGTATGAATTAATATCTATTTGAAACAATTATAAAAACCGTATAAAATTGTATACAAGAAACATAGTTGCATTGTTATTCTAGAACAGAATATTTAAAAATGTACAACAATGGTACTTTTTAATATCGGGGAGATGCGATACGTCATAAAATCCTCTTGCAAAAAATATCTGACACGATAGTAAGTGCCTGTCCATTTTGAGAGATCGATTTTGCCTCGTTTCTTTGGATCAATTGATAAAGATGACATATTTCATTGATAAACACGATGAAAAACCCACTTCCAGCTCCGGAGCTACCATGTGATTCTAATGTTATCACATTCTACTCATGACAATCAGAACCAAAACACACTCGTTGGAGAAGCAATGTACAACATTTTTGCAAGGGTTCATGAGTGCAAATGGTGGCACACACGTCCTCTCTATTCAATCCAACATGTACCAGGAACGGTTAATCTACACATAAGCTCATTGCTTAAGATATTCCTCCGACGCCTGATAATACAAAAGTTCAAGTCTTCATAACATACACGATGTAATCAACCCATATTTCATACCTGACAACTCCGTAAATTCCGTTTACATACCTAAGTGGCATATTCTGGCTCGGGGAAAACGAGAACGATGTGGCGAAGAAGAGTAGTCCCCATTGACAGTGAACGTAACCTCAGCAATGTCATATTCATTATTCAAGCACAGGGTTGCCACCTAATAAACACACACTCAATAGTTTTGGCTCCAATTCGATAGGAGAAATTGAACGTAAACCTGTGCAACAAGTACAGATGCCCCAATGACAATGTGCAGACATATCCAAAACAATCTTCCGATGAGCGACAACCACAAAATGATGACGATGACGTCACACGCTCAAATACTTTTGCTTGCAAGAATTTAAATTGTACACATTTTCATGGTAACATCATCGTTTTAGAGGTTTAATTAATTTTCTGTGATCTTATCTACTTTGCATTATTACTACTGCCTTGATGACGCGAAGATGTGGCAGAAACTTTTTGTGGAGGTGGGTCACCTTGGGTATGAGCTTGCAGTGATTGGGACGCCAAGTGACGTCTACCATTCATAAACACATTGTATGGTATTATTGCACAGCTACGAGGAGAAAATAGGAAATTTGAATCTATTCGACCATAAAATGGTGCGATTTTATGGTGCAGCTAAAAACAGATTACTGTACCCTCGTGTCTGTCAGACAGTCAGGCTTTCGCTCGTTAAATACGTTTTGAAACAACTCATTGTAAGATAAATGATATCTGAGAGACACTCTGTTTAGTAATCTCTATATCTGTCCATGTCCCCATGTCGGTCAACACTATCCTTATGAACATAGTATCTGCCCCTGCTCCCATGTCAGTCAGCACTGTTCCATATCTGAATACATCATCTCACATTACAGCATTATATACATAAACATATGTAAAATACAAAAGTAAACACAGAATCTGTCCATGTTGATTGGTACAATGGTGGTCATGTTTGTCAGTATCCGCCAATGTTGAGTCTGTGCTGTGCTCGCTATTGTCAAAACCGCCATGGGCCGTGCTTCTCATCTGAATACATTATCTCATTACAGCATTATATACATTAACATATGTAAAATACATGCAAAGTATATACACACAAACACACAATCTGTCCATGTTTATCGGTACAATCGTGATCATGTTTGTCAGCACCGTGCCTATGTTGGTTCGTGCCACATGCTCAGTGGTCAGTACCAGGACCATGTTCGTCAGTACTCTGACCATGTCTGTAAGTATGTTTTCCTTGTTTGTCTGTCTCTGCCCATGCTGATGCTTTGTCTGAACTATGACCATGTTGGTTGAATGATCTAAAAATACTGTTAAATTCCATAACATAACCAATAATAATATAGATTAAAACCCTTTCCCATCAACATGATAACTAAATACTTAAAGCTTAACACTGTAACATTGTATGATTCTGACAATATAACAAGCTGTTATTTTTACACACAGGTTTATGAATGATAATCAAAAAGAAAAAGTAGGACAAGGAGAAATAGGAAAACAGCAATTTGTACAAAACTTATGGACAACAACTGCCATTGTAAATCATTAAAATGTTGGTTCTATATTGTTTTACTACAGTGGGTTTACTTCTCAAAACCACTTTTTGTACAGAACTACAAACTAAACACGATCAGTGAAAAATGAACATGATTCACAGAAACAAATAAGGCAATACAAATATATCAAATAAGTGAAAGCAGCAATACCAATGGGTGACATGACACCTGCACCCCTGACAATCACTGTGAGATGTCTTGACTGACGCACACACTCTGCTATGAATACGCAATGCCATTAAGAAAGGTTTTCAAATGTAACATATGTTATATTTAGAATACACTTTCTCAGTAAAAGTACAGATTCTCCTAGTACTTTTGTTGGGTTGAGTCCCATCCAGGATTCCAACTCACACCTCCCAGAGCCTAAAACCTTATATTAGCATGGACAAAGTCAGCATTGACTAACCCACTCAGCCTTGGCGGCTTCCCCATACTCTGCTGCTGGAAATGAAGTGTTCCTTGAAACTGTTAGGGTATTTGGGCTGTTCAGATAGGTTACTTGTCTCTCCCTTGGCAAAGAGATAATTCAGATCATTAAAAGCCTCACATCGCCATCCTGTCCCCTTTATACAGCCCACCATCTTCGAACAGACACATAAAAAACTTCTGGAATGATCAAATCTTGTGTATGCCAGGAGGTAACTCCAAATCACACCTGTGGTGAAGATTAGCCACTCCAGTAACAACGCTCAATATTTCACGACCGTTTCAGTTTTTTCCCCGTGGCCTCCAACAATCACTACAAATAAACCTACAACGATCTCAAAGAGACATAACACTTAAAATATATTGGAACAAACGTGAGGTTAAGCAATAATGAATCATTCTCACTCACCCACTTTTCACATACATGAAGGACTTACAGCACTCAAATCACCGAATAATTCTAGATCAAATTGTTTGGAGGTAGGTGCCACTCAACTTATGATTGGTTCACTGGAGAATTACTGGAATTGTCCACATCATTGTGTAAACTCTGGCTACAAATAGTTACATTATCAAAATGTAGGGACGGTAGCAACAAACGGCTTATAACACAAATATGAAAACTGAAAATCGTGTTTTGAGTATTTCCTCGTCTGGACATTTCTGAAAGAGAGAATACAGTTGAATTGTGATCCTCAATTTCTGAAATGTGCACAAACAATTGCATACATGTTAATAAAATATATAAGATTTTTAGTTAATTTAATATGAGACACGAATACATTCATAATTTCAATTTCACTGTTCAATGTCGATTCCTTTGGAGATTATTGTTTGTGAAGACAAAGTTACCTGTTCATAACATCTCGTACAATACATTACATTTCGGCAGTCTCTGCCCTTGTTTTCACTAAGCGACACATCAGCTCAAACTGACACAAGAAGGTGATAAACATCAGAGTGTCTGGCTTCAACTACTATCATGGCGGGTGTCATGTTGTCGTGATCTCTCCTGTTGATGTTGATTGTTTTCAAAGATAGTAGATGCCTAACTATAGACATGTTACCTGTCTCACATGCATACATCAGACAGTCTCTACCCCTGTTATCAGTAAGTGACACATCAGCTCCCTCTGACATAAGAAGGTGATAAACATCAGAGTGTCCGGCTTTAGCTGCTATCGTGACTGGTGTCATGTTGTCGTGATCTCTCCTTTTCATGTTGATTGTTTTCAAAGATAGTAAGGTGCCTAACTATAGACATGTTACCTCTCTCACATGCATACATGAGACAGTCTCGGCCCTGTTATCAGTAAGTGACACATCAGCTCCCTCTGACACAAGAAGGTGATAAAAATCAGAACGTCCAGCTTGAACTGCTATAATGACTGGTGTCATGTTGATATCATCTCTCCTCTTGATGTTGATTTTGTCCAAAGATAGTAGGTGTCCAACTATAGACACCTTTATCTGAGGTTCCTAAAAAGCCATACTTAAACATGTTACCTCCTCACATGCATACCACATCAGACAGTCTCTGCCCATGTTATCTGTAATTGACAGATCAGCTCCCTCTGACACAAGAAGGTGATAAACATGAGAGCGTCCGGCTTCAACTGCTATAATGGCTGGTGTCATGTTGTTATGATCTCTCCTGTTGATGTTGATTGTTTTCAAAGATAGTAGGTGTCTAACTATAGACATGGTACCTAGCTCACATGCATACATCAGACAGTCTCTGCCCATCTCATCAGTAAGTAACACATCAGCTCCCTCTGACACAAGAAGGTCATAAACATCAGAGTGTCCGGCTTTAGCGGCTATCGTGACGGGTGTCATGTTGTTATGATCTCTCCTGTTGATGTTGATTTTGTCCGTAGATAGTAGATGCCTAACTATAGACATGTTACCTGTCTCACATGCATACATCAGGCAATCTCTTCCCCTGCTATCTGTAAGTGACAGATCAGCTCCCTCTGACAAAAGAAGGTGATAAAGATCAGAGTGTCTAGCTTTAGCTGCTATCATGACTGGTGTCATGTTGTCGTGATCTCTCCTGTTGATGTTGATTGTTTCCAAAGATAGTAGATGCCTAACTATAGACATGTTACCTCTCTCACATGCATACATCAGGCAATCTCTTCCCCTGTTATCTGTAAGTGACACATCATCCCCCCCGACACAAGAAGGTGATAAACATCAGAGTGTCCGGCTTTAGCTGCTATCATAGCGAGTGTCATGTTGTCGTGATC